TTAAAACAACTAAAAATAAATGTATTTTAAAGTTTAGAATTAGACAGCCTTTGCACACAGGCTTATGCTGAAAACAACAAAATGGAACCTCAAGGTTGATCTAGGAAAATGTGTGCAAATGTATAGGGCCCCATTCCTATGTTTTGCCTGGGGCCCCCAATTCACTAAATCCGCCCCTGCTTGAATATAAATAATGATGTTCTCTTGACAAAAACAATTCACATCCTTAATGATCATCGCCTGCATTTATATTGTGTTAAGCACAAAACCGCATATTACAGATTACAGTGTCTGGTAAAATATCACTAGAGCCTCACACAAATGTATGTGTCAGATATAAAATATGTTAAATAACTTATTAAATTACTTAGTAATTACTGAGTGGTTAAGGTGTTTTTCACTTTAAAATAATGGTCCAGATCACTAGTAGTTCCTGCAGGCTGACAAGGTAACGCTTGAGTAATTAGTGAGAGGCTAATGTATTTTTCACTTTAAAGCTAAAGTGCTACTAAGGAACTACTAGTGATCTGGACCATTATTTTAAAGTGAAAAACATGTTAACCACTCAGTAATTACTCACAAGTAAATTAATAAGTTATTTAACATATTTTATATCTGACATACTGTACAGTCATACATTTGTGTGAAGCACTAGTGGTATTTTACCAGTAGGTATTTTGGAGTGGGATACATTGATACTGAACTGACACGAAGCAGCGATCATAATTGTGAACTAATTCAATCATGAGCTTGTCAGCATGAGCTTGCAATTATTAACATTTTTAAGTGAATTTTCATTTTTATTATTATTCTATGTTTAAGTTTGAACAGCCATCCTTTGGTAAGAGTAGTAGTCACAATTTTAAAATGTAGCCGACTTATTTGGGGGATATCAAATTCATAAATTAGTTTCCACAAAGAACCCAATTGTTCACTTTTAAGACGTTACTGTTGTGATTACTAATTAATTGGTTATTCTTTATTAACTGGTCATAGTTCACAAGTAGTTCTCAATGAGGATATTTTTATTTAATAATTATCAAATATCTAATAAGGAACTACCTTCGTCGTAAATTTGCTACTACTTACTGCTTAGTTAATCAGAGAAAATAAAAATGTTGTACAAAAATTGTATTTCTTATTTTTATTCGTCTTGTCAGGATACAATTCGTTTAACATTTACAACACAATAGAAAAAAGTGTTGCAGAGAGAAAAAAATTAAAATGTAGGTTGTACAAAAATAGCCTATTAGCAAGCCTATTTTTATTAATCTTGTCAAAATAGCAACTAAATTTGTTTGACATTTTTCTGTCAACACAGTAGGAAAAGTGTCGCAGAGAAAAAAAATAAAAATAAAAAATTATCGCGATTAATCACATGGTTTTCTGCGATTAATCGCGATTAAACGCATTGTTATGCACAAAATTCAATAATGAATTCAAAAGTAGTGTATTGTGCACTTTTTTCATTTAAAAGTACTGCTATATGAACAAAAGTGCAATAACATTTGGTTTGCCAAACACTTTAAACAAATAAGGTGCTTTTTACAGCAGTATTCCTTTTACGTAGCAGTTAAAATATTTATTGTAAATCTCAATTTATAACATTAATGTAATCAAATTAAATATAAAACCAAAGCTATTTGCCACTGCCACAGCATTAACGTTTTTATTGAAAATATTTTATAGTTTGTTATAGAAAAACAGTTATGCTCGGAGTCCAGAGCCTCGATCATAACATTATAACAGGCACCTTCTGAGTAGAGACCTGCACTATCGTGGTACCTACGGGACCCAATGCAACAACAGATTGCGGCGCGGGACAGCACTTGATGGGCGAGTGCGGGAGCAGACGGGTAGAGACTCATGTGTGCGGGATGCGGGAGAATAAGGTTGTACTCACACTAGGCAATCTTAACCGTGCCCGATTGCATTTGACCCCCAAAGCCTGGTTCATTTGACTAGTGTGATCGCTCCGTGCCGCGCTTGGCCGCATTTCGTTTAGCCGTCCCTGGCTCGGTTGGAAGAGGTGGGCCAAAGCGCGGTTCAGTTGGGCTCAGGCGCAGTATGCATGTAGTGTGAGCGTGAATCGCGCCAGAGTGATTTCCGATTTCCCACTTAAGTCGTGAGCGCTTCATGTGAGCGCTGCTGCAGTCTTAGGCCCACCCCAGATGCTCTCATTGGTTGAGACGCGTGATGACACCCATCTCAGTACTGATCAACATCCCACCCCTCCTTCAGAGCCAGTGAGCAACGGACTTTCATAATAATAAAAAACTGCATTAATGCGATATAAAATAATTGTCTCATGAAAGCATGCATGCAGCACGTGTATAACAGTCCTGAGTGCAGGCTGTACAGTCGGTACTGTTATGATTGTACTGTACAATTCAATCCAACAGTAGCTAAGCTCAATCACTGAACCTTTTACCCCAGGGCTTATGTTAACTGAAATAATTCAGAATCTCACCTGAAAATCTGATAACATCAGCAATCTTCTTCCATGCAGCTGAGTTCCAAGTTTTGTCTTTAAAAAAATCTGTGGTTCGTGACGTACAGTATAATTCAGGGTATTTCCCAAATTAATTGAGTTTTCCTCATCCTTTAATTAATGTTAATGTTAGGCTACACATTGCTATTGAAGTGTGTTGTGACCTGGTTCCTCCAGTAAGTGGAAGCACATGACAATGAATGTCATCACAACAGCAAAAGTCACATATGCATTCGCACTGAGGTTATAGTGTATGAAAAACTGTGTTAGTGGCACTGCAGGATTTTGAACAGCCTCCTGAGTCATACCTGGGTGCCGTGGACAGATGTTGAGGTGTGCATAAACTCATAATAAACAATGTGTTCGAAATGTGTTTTAAACGTGGTGTGACACAGCGCTGTGCTTCTCGTCCGGAGTATTACACCCTTTAAAAAGACCCTTTTGGATCTTCAAAGTTTTGGTAGCATGGACTATGAATGGAGATACAGAGATTACTTAGGTTTCATTAAAAATATCTTCATTTGTGTTTCAAAGAAGAAGGAAAGTCTTACATGTTTGGAATGACAGAATGTTTGTTTTGGGGTGAACTAACCATCTGTGTTGTCTAAAATGCTGTTTTGTTTGTCTTGTGTCAGTATCAGCAAGAGCAAGACACCAAGATCAGAGTCTCCAGAACCCAGCGGTGTGTCTGTGAAGAGTAGCAGATCCATGGACGCACCTGTTGTATTCAGCGATGGAAAAGCGATCTCTGATCCTCTGTTAGTGGAACCATTTACTTACTAATTTACTGTAGTGCATCTCTGATTAACAATAATTTATTAATCTAAATGAAATGGCACTAAATGTACTCCAAAATATTTAACATATGCACTGCACAGGGGTGCAACCTGAAGAGGGATGTTGAACTTATTTCTAATAACTGGCATATTTCTGATGGTCATAAGCTGTCCTTGTAATCACAGTCATTTTACTTTTTGCAAATCAGAATCCATCAGTTTTAATCAACTTGTGCATTTAAAGCAGCAGATGATGAAACTGCAGCATTTTTTTGGAATAAACAAAATGTCATAGTCTGTTGAAGGGGATGCTAATGTAGTTATCATTATAGTTATTGTTCTTGTTGTGAATAGGCCTGACATGTATAGTTCTCGCAAAATGAAAATGATGCCATTTACTCTCCCTCAGGCTGCTCCAAAACTGTAGGACTTTTGTTTATCTTCAACACACAAATTATGAAATTTTAAATGAAACCTGAGAGATTGTCTAAAGTGCTGTTTTGTTTGTCTTTTGTCAGTATCAGCAAGAGCAAGACACCAAGACCAGAGTCTCCAGAAC